AATCAATCCCACTGAAATCAGGGACAAGGCAAAGCTGCCCATTCTCTCCATATCTCTTAAACATAGTTCTTGAAGTCCTTGCTAGAGCAATAAGACAACTAAAGGAGATCAAGGGGATACAAACTGGAAAGGAAGAAGTCAAAGTATCACTATTTGCAGATCATATAATAGTATACCTGAGTTACCCCAAAAAATTCTACCAGGAAACTCCTACAGACGATTAAACACCTTCAGCAAATTGGCTGGATACAAAATTAACTAAAAAAATCAGTAGCCCTCCTGTATACAAAAGACAGAAGGGCTGAGAAAGAAATTAGGGAAACAACACCAAATAGCCACAAAGGACATAAAGTAGCTTGGTGTGACCCTAACCAAGCAAGCCAAAGACTTGTATGAAAAAAAAATTCTAGTCTCTAAAGAAAGAATTAGAGGAAAATATCAGAAGATGGAAAGATCTCCCATGTTCATGGCTTGGCAAAATTAACATAGTAAAAATGGCCATCTTGCCAAAAGCAATCTACAGGTTCAATGCAATTCCCATCAAATTACCTACACAATTTTTTATAGACCTTGAAAGAAAAATTCTCAACTTTATATGGAATAACAAGGAACCCAGAATTGCTAAAACAAGCCTCTGCAATAAAAGATCTTCTGGAGGCATCTCCATCTCTGATCTCAAGCTGTACTATAAAGCAACAATAATAAAAACTGCATGATACTGGCATAGAAACAGAATGGTGGATCAACAGAATTGGATAGAAGATCCAGAAATAAACGCACACTGTTATGGACACCTGATTTTTGAAAAAGATGCCAAAACCATACAATAGAAAAAAGATAGCATCTTCAACAAATGGTGCTGGTCTAACTGGATGTCTACATGTAGAAAAATGCAAATAGATCCATACTTATCACCCTACACAAAACTAAAATTCAAGTGGATCAAAGACCTCAATATAAAACCAGAACCACTAAACTTGTTAGAAGAAAAAGTGGGGAAGAGCCTTGAACCCATTGGCACAGGAGACCACTTCCTGAACAGAACACCAACAGCACAGGAGCTAAGAACAACAATCAATAAATGGGACTTCATGAAACTGAAAATCTTCTGTAAAGCAAAGGACACTGTCGTCAGAACAAAACGACAGCCTACAGATTGGGAAAGGATCTTCACCAACCGTATATCTGACAGAGGGCTAATATGCATAATATGTAAAGAACTCAAGAAGTTAAACAGCAACAAATCAAGTAATCCAATTAAAAAAGTGGGGTGCAAGGCTAAAAAGAAACTTCTCAATATAGGAATATTGCATGGCAGAGAAACACTTAAAGAAATGTTCAACGTCATTAGCCATCAGGGAAATGCAAATCAAAACGACCCTGAGATTTCACCTTACACCCTTCAGAATGGCTAAGATCAAAACTCAAGTAACAACACATGCTGGAGAGGATGTGGAGAAAGGGGAACCCTCCTCCATTGCTGGTGGTAATGTAAACTTGTATAACCACTTTGGAAATCAATCGGGCACTTTCTCAGTCAATTAGGAATAGCACTTCCTCAAGATCCAGCTAAACCACTCCTAGGCATATATCCAAAAGATGCTCAAGTACACAACCAGGACATTTGTTCAACCATGTTTTTAACAGCTTTATTTGTAACAGCCAGAATCTGGAAAAAACTCAGAACCCCTCAGTGAAGGAGTGGATACAGAAATTGTGGTACATCTACAGCATGGAATATTAGTCAGCAGAAAAAAAAAAGAAATCATGAGATTTGCAGGCAAATGGTGGGAACTAGAAAAGATCATCCTGAGTGAGGTATCCCAGAAGCAGAAAGACACAGGTTATATACTCATTCATAAGTGGCTATTAGACATATAATATAGAATAAACATACTAAAATCTGTACACCTAAAGAAACTAATCAAGGAGGACTCTGGGTAAGATGCTCAAACCCCATTCAGAAAGGCAAAGAGGATGGTCATCAGAAGAGGGAGAAAACAGGAAACAGGAAACAGGACAGGAGTCCACCACAGAGGGCCTCTGAAAGGCTCAACCCTGCAGGGTATCAAAGCAGATGCTGAGACTAATAGCCAAAGTTTGGGCAGAGTGCAGGGAATCTTATGAAAGAAGGGGAAGATAGTAAGACCTGGAGAGGACAGGAGCTCCACAAGGAGAGCAACAGAACCAAAAAAATGTTAACACAGGGTATTTTCTGAGACTGATACTCCAACCAAGGATCATACAGGGAGATAACTTAGAACCCCTGCAGAGATGTAGCTCATGCCAGTTCAGTGTCCAAGTAGGTTCCATAGTAATGGAAATGGGGACTGTCTCTGACATGAACTGATTGGCCTGCTTTTTGATCACTACCCCCTGAGGGGGGATCAGCCTTACCAGGCCACAGAGGAAGACAATGCAGCCACTCCTGATGTGACCTGATAGACTGAATCACCTCCCCAATTAGTGGGCTGAGGGAGGGTTATGGGTGGAGAAAGGGGAGGGATGGTGGGATTGGGTGGGGAGAAGGAAGAGAGCTACAGGTGGGATGGAAAGTGAATAAACTCTAATTAATAAAAATAAAAATTAAAAAAAGTAGTCTTATCACACAAGGTAGGAGGCCTATTTACAGGAATGTTAAAAAGGCTTTTCAGAGGTCAGAAAATAAATTTATAAGTGAAATTTGATTATTGTGTTGTCTGAGATATAAAAGAAACAGAAGTTAAATTTGGTCATGGTATTTTACTACAGTAATAGAAACCCTAAAAAAATGGGTGACAGTTACACTTATATGTGGGTATAAAGACAAATATTTAGAATGCTGGTTTAGTGTGTTTGTGGTTGTAGTTTCTCCTCCAAGACTCATGTGATATCTAGCACTGAGTAGATGGCTAGGCTTCTAGTACCAGACATGACTTCTGTTTTGTTGAATGTGTCTTTGTACAATTAGAGAGTACTTGGGCACTGTCAATGTACATTGTGCAGCCTTCATTGTGATTATCGTACCAGGCTGGTGGTCACTGTGGTTTGTAAGTGTCATAGAAGGAGAGCTGTGACTCTGGGCTGCTTCCTTCCTCTGGAAGCTTATAAGGTGCCTTCTGGTTCCGTGAAAGGTAGTCCTCAGGGAAGAAGCTTTCATGTTAGATCCAGATTGTGTCTTCTGATCTGTGTGTCTGAAGTGCATGGTGATTTCAGCTATAGAAAGTTACCTTTCCCTTCTTGGGAGGGGAGCAACTAAGTGCAACAGCGATTGCCTATAATGTTTTTTTTTTTTTTTTTTTGAGGGGGGGGGATTTTTGGATCATCCTGATCAATAATTCAAAAGAAGAATTTTCATGTCTGATTTGACATTTTTTTGTTTGTTTTTGTTGTTGTTGTTAGGTAGTCTATGGCTCTTGGTGAGCGGGCATCATTGCCAGTCCAGATGGAAATTTTTTAAAATATATTTATTACAATTTAATCACTTTGTATCCCAGCGGTAGCCCCCACCCTCATCCCTTCCCAATCCCGCCCTCCCTCCCTCCCTCTTCTCCTCCCATGCCCCTTCCCCAGTCCACTGATAGAGGAGGTCCTCCTTCCCTTACAGATGGAAATTTTTTATTTTAACTATATGTGTATATTTCTACATAGATTTGGTTGTACTGTGTGTATTTTTAGGTAAGTAGTTCACAATATGACTCCTTATAACTATTTTTTCAAACATCCTTTTATTTTACCCCCCTCTCTTCTATTCTATTTATTTTCCTCCCCTTCCCTGATTAGATCTCCCATTTTTCCCATTTCACCTTTCTTATCACTTGCATTCTGGTAATCCACCATCTAGTGCCCCCTCCCCGGTCTCCCATCCTGCAACGGTCTGTTTTTACTTTGCTGGTTTCTGCAGTTACACCAGGTTATGTACTCACATCTGAAGATTTGATAATAGGAACTTCAGATGAGAGAAGCATGAGACATTTATCTTTCTGGGTCTGAGTTACCTCACTCAATATGATCTTTTCTAGTTCAACCCATTTACCTACAAATTTATTATTTCAGGTTTTTATTTGTTTTTATATTGGAGTATCAACTGAGGAAAAGGCAGAGTAGTGGATCTCAGTCCTAACAGATACATCTACTTGTGGACAGTGATGGTGGGATTTCACAATCCCTCAACCCTAGACAGAGAACTACAGACAACTAAGAAATAGTCTTCCACTCTGAAAGACAGTCCTGATGAGACTTGATAGGTTAGGGTCAGATGGAAGGGGAAGAGGACCTCCCCTATCAGTGGACTTGGAGAGGGACATGGGAGGAGATAAGAGAGGGTGGGATTGGGAGGGGAACGAGGGTGGGTACTACAGTTGGGATACAAAGTGAATAAATTGTCATAAATAAAAATATATTAAAAATAAAATATCAATCATTTCTGAAAAGAAATAGTCTTCCCTGGGGAAGAGTACAATAGATTATTGAATACTAAATATCAGCCCTGAAGACAAATGTGTTATAAAGACTGAGCAGGATGTATATATACACATATATATACATATAAATATATGTATATATACATATACTTGTATTTACATGCATATACATACACACATACACGTATACATATATGTATAAACATACATATATACAGGCACATATGTATATACATGTATACATATGTACATATATGCGTTTATTTGCCATGAATTCGAAAGAGCAAGGAGATTAAACATGGGGGTTTTGAGGGAAGAAAGAGAAGAGAAAAAAAATGTAATTATATCATACTCTCATAAAATAAAAAAATAACAAAAAATCAGATTGGATTTCACGTTTAAAGTATTATTTGCTCAATGTAACAAACTTCTGAATTTCAGTTTCTTTATTTGAGGAGAGCTAGTGCTTGCACTGATTACTTTCTAGGTTATAGAGAAAATATATATGAATGTTTCTAAGTGAAAAATCATACCACACATGCTATTATCAGTATCCCAATAATGATTAAATAATGGACCTAAAGCAATTTTAAGCAGTAAGCATTTATTTAGTGGCATTAAACATACTAGAACATACGTATATCATGTTGAGCATGCAGACATTTTCTAATTTCAGTAACAGTGTTAAAACATTTTACAAAGATACAATACACAGCAGTCTTTGTAGAGAAAACACTGTAAGACACACATTTGACTTACTTAAGAGACTTGAAGTGAGTTATAATTATATATAGCCAAAGGAGGTGTCCACTATTTAAATGGTCATATTTGCTGGCAAAAAAAAGACAAGCATTAAGATTTTTGAAATGGGGATAAATTCTCATTCTGATTTGTGTTAACCTATATTGCATGTCAGACTTCTAAGAAATAAATCACATTTTTTTCTAGTAATCAAACACATTCTAGAAAATATAATAAAATGGCATCCAATGTGTTCAAAAACAATGTCAGGAGTAAAACGCAGTTATTGTGGCAATACCAACACATCAAATTTTAAATTCTCTCCAAACAAATTTTATATTTCAAATGGAATAACATAATGAATATGACAAAACTCTGTAATATATCCAATCCTTATTATGCAACTGTCCTATAATAATCTACTCTGATGAGCTGTTTTGTTTGTAGAATAAAGTCCCAGTCCTCTATTAGCCTTTCCCCACCAGCCACATAATTTGATGTTAATTCTTATACAAAAAGAAGGGTAAGGTCAGTGTCACACTAAGAAGATCAAAGAATGTAGTCTCTATGCTAAGTACATAAAGCATGAAGACGAAGAGTTCAGCCAGTACCAGACACAAAACAGCACATTTAAAAATAAACAACCACAAAAAAAGAAGTCAGCAAAACTTGAGGGAAAAGATGACAGAAAAACGATTCTTTAAGTACACAGATATCCATTTCAGATGCAGACAGAGTTCTTTAAAAAGTCTTGGCTATTTCATAGGAATCTGGAAATGGGACAGACACTCGTCCAGATCCAGTCACAAGAGGCAGAATTCCAGCAATCGGTATAACTTGCCAGGACAGGGTCAAAGTGACATTCCTGTTTCCCTTGAGACCGTGTCCGTCGTCAAAGAAAAAGTACTTGCTTTTGACATCTTTCAGGTTGAGCTTGGGGTTCTCGCCTCGCAGAAGGATCTTGTCCCAGAGGACTACCTGGTTCACAGCGTTGGTTTTGGTGGAATATTCTGCCGACAGATAAAGGAAGAGCTGCTTAACGTTCCAGTCGAAAGTCTTCTCCAGATCCGCAGAGATGTGGAATGTGATGAAGCCCAGGTCGCTTCTTTTTCTGGGTCCAGTGAAGTCTTCCACTTTTTTGAGCAGGATCCTGGAGACATGCAGGCGCACTTGCGCGCTCCTGTCTTTGAAGGCGGTGGTGAGGATGCAGCCCAAGGTGAGCGCCGCCATGACGCTCAGCGTGAAGGCGAACAGCGAGTTCGCCCGCGACAGCAGGGTGTTCATCTTGCGGGATCGATCCGTGGATCCCTCCACGCGAACTCCACAGGCGCTCGCTCGGCAAGGGGTGCTGCTGTCCGCTGGCCTTCTTTCTGCCTTCCTCTGGCTCACGCAGAATGCTGGGAGCGCGCACGCATCCCTGGAACGCGCGCCTCCCAAGATGCTTTTTTTTTTTTTTCCTCCAAGACACCAGTTAACCCTACAACCACTGTCTGCTGATAATCTAAGGCACTTGGGGTATCTGACAGAAAACAGCAGAGGGGCTGAATACGCCCAGGGGGCCTTGAACTGCCTCATCCCCCACCCCCACAACCACTGAGGGTCCCATCTACCACACACACACAAAGCCCTGTCCAGGGAACCCTGTCCCTATTCACACTGCTGCATCATGGCTTTCATACATTCTAGCCCCTCCTCTGGGCTTCTGAAACAGGCTCCTCATGGCTGTACTTCCCTACATTCTAGCTCACCCTGCCTCTGCAGTCCATTCTCTGCACAGAGACCAGCCACCCCCCCCCCCCCCCCAGCTCAAGCAACTCCCTTGCTGGACTCCTCCACATTCAACACAGTCTTAGTGTCCAGTGTGGCCCAGACTGAGTGCTACCTCTGGCTCTTTCAACCTCACCCTCTCCCAGCCTGCTTCTTGTCTGCCAGGCTCCATCCACTGGGCTTGTCTCTGCTCCCAGATCAACTGGAGCACACAGTTGCAAGCACAGCAAGAAGTGACCTGTGCATGCCTGGCTTCTTATCACTCAGGACTCAGTAACAAAGCCACTTCTGGGAAAGGCCTTCATTGACAACTCTGTGCCCTATTTAAGCTGTTTTCTGTTTATTTTCTTCAAACACACATCTCCACATAACTTGCCTGGTCAGTTGTTTTTCTTACCCACTTTTGCCAATCAACAGTGACAGGTCCAGGGCTCCTCCCTATCTTGTCCTTCCTGCTGCTTTCCCCCTGCTTTGTATATATATCACTGACTGATTATAAACAAACTGAAAAAAAATTACTGACCCTCTAGAGAAGCTGGAATTTTTACCACCCAGAACAATGAAACAATACACAAAATGATTTAAGATAATAAAAGCTCTTGTTGTAAATAGACATCAGTGCCTTTCAAAGCTCAATGAGTACCAGGATTAGGTGGAATCTACCCACCACAATTCCACGTTTTTGTTGTTGTTTTATCTTCAAAAGACTTGGAATGGACGCAAATATTGTCACGTTTAATAAACACCATCAGGAGATTCTGAAGAAAATTCCCACCCCCCGAAAAATGCTGACTACATGTGTCAACATTTTAATCTAACTAATTTAATGGCACCATGCAGAGTTTGGGGACAACGGGAAGGTCTTTATTGGTGTAAATGATCCAAGTGCCCTGGTCACTTAATCCACCTGAGAACACAAGGTTCTTCCTCACCTGGAGTCACTAAACTCTAGAGAGCAGTCCCATTCATTAGGAGAATTGGTATTGTGTTCCTTTTGTTTAGATGAAGCTGGTTCCAGGTAGTTGCTTAATCAGTGCTTTAAAGATGGAACTCTGATGTCTACACTATTACTGCATTAACGTGTCTCATAAAGTTGACAATTCACCGGCTTCTTCTGTATAAGCCCGATCCTGCATAGAAGAATCTTCACTCTTGCCTATCATAAACAGCACAAGTTTAATCACTGTTGATTTAATGCAGAGTTCTAAGAGTTTTGAAGCACCTGCTGATACAGTTAAGGAACTTCCTTGTCCTTCTCTCCACCTGAGAGAACAGGATGATTTCTCATGCAGGAACAAGCAAATCTCCAAAGTATTTCTTGTGGTTCAGATATGTTCAGGATTGTTATTTGCTTGCGTGGAGGAGACCAACGGAAAAGTAGTGTCTTACTAAAATTGTCTCCATTATGGGGACCAAATCTCTCCAGGAACCTACTCAACTAACTATATACATCAGACTCATTTCTTTACTCTGAGCCTCAGATTCTGCACTGCCTATTAAACACCCTTTTCTGGTGTTATAGTAAAAGACAGGAGAAGGAAGAAAGAAAGCATATGGGATAGAGAAGAAAGCAACCAGATGGGAAAGGCAGGAAGCTGTGTGATGATGCTCTTTCTCTTTCCTGCTGTATCCTGCAACTCCTCTTACACACTAAACCGTGGAACTGAGACTAACCTAAGAGATATGTGGGCTGATTCCTGTTTACTAGGTAGCCAGTCCATGACGTTGTCAGAGCTATTACTTTGACTGAATAAAGAAGGCGAATTCAGGGAGGTCCCATATGCTGAGGAGCAACTGCATACCATACACTGTAGGTTTTTGGACACTTTAAAAGCTATCTTCTGAGATAAGTGGCATCAATCCCTTTGTACAAGTGAGGAGACAGTTTTAGAAAGCAAAGTATATGTTCAAGGAATCCTGGGAAGGTATCAGCTTAATTCTGGGGACATCTTGAAAGAGAATAAATAAATAAAATAAATTTAGCCAATAAATTCTAGCATATGTGTATGTGTATATATATGCACACACATACACACACACATATATCAATAACAAAAGGTGGTAACTTCTTCTGAGAAAAGTGTGACTGAGTAAGATTGATTAAAACATTATAAATGAATAAATGGGCAGGGAAATCTCTTCCACATCTCAAATATCAAGCAATAATTTCAGAAGGAAAATCAGAATTAGAAAAACAACACATGGCAACACCATAGTGATAAAGTGATTCAGGCAAAAATCACAGTTGGCATCAGTTTCCACAGCCATCACCATGGTAACCACACTGGCCAAGGGAAGCTGGGAAAAATAAAGGGGTCGCCAATCTTATTTCTAATATGTACTAGGATCTGAGTAAGAATGTCATGACTGTTTCAATTAATTTTAAATATTTCTCATGACAAACCTTCCTGGCAGCTCCAGTAACATAAATATACATACATTCATATGGTAAAAAAATTCATGTATGTATGTCTGTATCCTCTTTTTCCCTTTTTTCTCACCACCCAAGAATATATTATGGTGAATTGACTGACAGGTGAAGAAGTAAAACCACACCTTTCAACAGATTCATTTCGAACCACGTGTGTTAATTATAGCCTACTTACGATATTTTCTCCACAAGCTGATTTTTGTATAGCTTGTCAAAAGATAAATTTGACATTTTGTCCCTAGTTTCTGTTTATTTTCACTGACTTCCTAAAGCATATGTGCATGTACAAGAAAATGCATGTTAACAGGAAAGTACTTTTTAAAAGCTAAAACTGTGCATTTTTAGCCTTTTTTTTTTTATGTCTCAACAGCTACCGTTTCAAATTTGGACACTGCAATTTTGGGGAATGTATGGTAACCTGTACTTGTTTTTAATATTTATAATAATTCCATTCTATCCATTTTGTATCCCAGCTGTAGCCCCCTCCCTCATTGCCTCACAATCTCACTCTTCTTCCCTCATCTCTTCTCATGCCCCTCTCCAACTCCACTGCTAGGGGAGGTCCTCCTCCCCTTCCATCTGACCCTAGCTTATCAGGTCTCATCAGGACTGGCTGCATTGTTCTCTTCTGTGATCTGGCCAGGCTATTTCCCCCTGCGGAGGAGGTGATCAAAGAGCCAGCCAAGGATATCCAAAATATGCTCAAGTACACAACAAGAACATTTGGTAACCTGTACTTGTATTTTTAGAATACTGTAATTTAAACATCACCACAAAATGAAGTACTTATGTGTATAGTCTATCTACAAGAAGTCATTTCTGTATATTAAATATGACAAGATGTTGCTGCAATGATTAAGGACTCAGTCAATTGGAAGGCACATGTTGTTCATGGGTCAGAAAACTTGGATTATTTATTTTATGTTAAACTTCCCCAATCTAATCTAAAGACTCGCTGCAATCCCAATAAAAATTACTATTGTCCATTCTTGCTATGCTTCTTTATTTGAAGATGATTCAATCATGAACCAGTTCCTGCTTCTTGATATAATGTGCCTTCTGTGTCATGGCAATAATTACCTGATTAATGCACTTGCAAGAATAACAAAGACTTGCTCAGCCCAAGTACTCTCCCTTCAAAATGCTTAGAAATATTCTGTTTTCAGCAAGCGTGTTTTCTGCTCTGCATCTCAAGGATGGATGTACACATTATTAATATTATTTTTAGTTATTTTATTTGGGTTCTTTTTTAAATTTAAATTTTATTTTTATATTAATCACAGGTTGTTTACTTTGTATCCCAGCCTTAGCCCCTTCCTCATTCTCTCCCAATCCCACCCTCTCTGTCCCTTTCCAAGTAAACTGCTAGGGACGTCCTCCTCCCCTTTCATCTGACCCTAGATTATCAGGTGTCTTCAGGACTCTCTGCCATGTCCTCCTCTGTGGCCTAGCAAGACTGTTCCTCCCTCAGGTGGGGAGGTAAAGGAGCCAGTCGTTGCATTCTTGTCAGAAATAATACCTGTTCCCCTTACTAGGAAAAACCATTTGGTTACTGCGCTACCATGGGCTTCATCCGAACAGAGGTTCTAGGTTATATCCATACATCATCCTTGGTGGAATGTCAGTCTCAGAAAAGACCCCTGTGACCAGATATATTTGGTTCTTGTGGAGCTCCTATCCTTTCCACGTCATACAAACTCCCCCTTCTTTCATATGATTCCCTGCACTCTGCCCAAAGTTTGGTAATGAGTCTCAACATCTGCTTTGATACACTGCTGGGTAGAGTCTTTCAGAGGCCCTCTGTGGTAGGCTCTTGTCCTGTTACTTGTTTTCTCCTACATCCAATGTCCATCCCATTTGTTTTTCTAACTGAGGATTGATCATCTTACACCGGGTCCTCTTTCTTCTTTGGGTTCTTATATCTCCACTCCAATCTCTTCCAAACCCTCTCCCTTAACACTAGAAAGGCGAGAAAGAAGGTTAAAGGGGAAAGACGATATACACCTCTTTAAACTACTTTCTGCTGACCAGGGTCATCAGCTCCTATGGCATAGCCAACCTTCTCTGCCAGAAAATCCAGCAATCCAGCAATCCAGCAAGCCAGCAAGCCAGCAAGCCAGCAAGCCAGCAATAGGAAAGGCAGCATCACCAGGAACCAACAACAGCAGGGACCAGCAGCAGTGAGTGCAGCAGC